CACACACACACACACACACACACACACACACACACACACACACACACGGCGCAGACTGAACATACCTCTCTCCTCATTCTTAACTCGTATGGGGGAAACATGTTGACCTCATTCTTTCATCTGGAGCCACAGATTTATAGGATTGTTTATAAGATGCAAAGAGCACTTGAAAAAAGGATAAATCCAAATTGGTGACAAAGACTAACGGAAACTAATAAAAAAACATACATTTTTACAATGAGCAAATTTGATTTCTAGGTTACAGAATGGACAACAAACTGTCCCAACAGAGACACTAAAGCCTGTAATGACTGCACTGTCCTTGTGCTAAGCGTTAAGTAATTAGCTGTATCAGTAAACAGTATGAGCTTTAAGCTGCACTGCTTAAAATATGCTCCATCATTAGAACAGCCCCCCGTCTCTGTGGAGCCTGCCGGAGTGCCTAGATTGACTGGAACACATCCAGTGACACCTGCGATGACAGATGAACCCACTCAGTCACAACACAGCGCATGCTGCCACCGATGATTTAACCGGCAGAGGCATCTACGACACCGTCTATTTACGCTCTCAATGGGTTATTAACATCAGGCCATGTCACCAGGTGAATGTACAGCAAAGGTGCAGTGTGTCTGCACAGTGTAATGGCCCGGAGTAAAAAACAAACAAAAAAAAACCCAATGACGTTACAACATAACCACACAGCCTCAGCTAACCTCCTCTCTCAATCCGGTGACCTCATATCTGGATCATCTGTGTTAACAGCGCTCACACATCAGACAATGTTATGCTTTCAATTGTGCCGCTCTTCCTTAAAATGCTTGTGCAGCTTGTTAATTAAAAACATGGCTTCATCTCCTCCGCGCGATAGTGTGCGTTGTGAGCGGGGCTTCCTCTGGTGCACTGAATCCTGGGTATCCCTGGCTGGGTGTTTCACTAGGGTTGCAGCATCCGGCACAGTGGGCAGCAGCTTAGAGGATCACAGGCGGCATCTAGCAGCGTGATGGACTGGCTGCTCTTCACATAGTGCTGACGGAATGAGGGGGGGGGGGGGATCAGCGCTCTGTTGCCCAGATGTAACTGTCTAGAAACATTACAAAGTTTGCAGGAAAGCGCCGAGGAGATGAGGCTTCTCTTAGAGATCACAAGTGCTTGTTTTTTTTTTCTTCGAGCTGCTGGGTGTGCAGTGCAAGGACATTCGCTGACCTACAAGCAGTGTGGGTGAGACCTGGCACACCAAAATAGAACAGGCTTGTTGTGGTGGTTGTGTGGTGTGCCCTGAAGATGCTCAGCATCTCCATTCAAGCTCAGTTCTCAGACCAGGCCTAGGCCCACCCTCAAAATACAGGGCCTGATAAAGGCCAGCACTGTGTGCTGTGTGTGTGTGTGGAGAATAATACCCAACACTTCTGGACAAATCTGGACATTTACCTGCGCATTATTTCACCCACCTTTTCACTCTTATGATTTGATCCCTCATCGGCTTTATGTCCTGGAAGCTCTGCTGGTTGACGAGGCTGTAGACCAGTATGAATCCTTGCCCGTTTTTGATGTAGAGGTCCCGCATGGAGGCGAACTGCTCGGTACCGGCGGTGTCCAGGATCTCCAGCACCGAGGGCGAGGAGTCCACCTCGATCTCCTTGCGGTAGAAATCCTCTATAGTGGGGTCGTACTTCTCAATGAAAGTCCCGGTTACAAACTGCACGGTGAGGGCGGATTTCCCGACCCCACCGCTGCCCAGGACCACCACTTTATACTCGCGCATCGTGGATTAAATCAAGTCGTAACTAAGGTATCAAATCTCCGCGCGTCATTGAAATGAACTCGAGCCGTCCACGCCACGAATCACATTGACAATTCGCGTCCCATTTCGAGCGGGTTGTCAATAACACGGTCCTGCTCGCCGCTGCTCAGCTAAGGCAGAGCACAAAGACTCGGTGCCCCAAGATGGATTTCATTGTAGAAATTCAACCCATGCAGGCCAGACACCGACAGCTATACGGGCACCCGAAGGCTGCAACTGTCCCAAAATGTGCACGGGCAGGAAGGAAATATCGCCCGATGATGTGGCGCGTGCGGGTTTTCATCTGCTTAACTCACCCTCTCTATGCATCAGAAAAAAACAAACTTGCTCCATCGAGGACACTGGGGAAAAACGCTGGCTTAGTCTCGAGAATGAAGTGCAGGCGCAATTTTTGCAAGCCCGGACGCCGCCTCGGGAAAACAGCACCGACTAAAAAGTATTTCCACACTTAATTAAAGAACTTGCGTCCCTTTGTTTCTTTTTCAGCATCTCTGGTGTGTCTCCGCTTCTCCCTCGCTCTCCGGTGCAATCCCAGCCGCCATACTCTCGGGTGTGGAGACCCCACGGCCGCTGCGTAACCAACTGGTCCCCGCTCGGCTTCCGTACCGAGGTAGAAAAAAGGAAACTTATTACGGACCCTCCCTCCCTTCAGACGGATGTGCGCGCGGTCCAACAGCCGGCCTCCGCTGCCTCTAAACCCCACTCGTGCCTTGAACGGGAGCTGCACGCGGTCAGCCAGTCACATTCAGCGGTTGCATTTCCGTTCATGTGTTAAAATTCCCATCATTGCCCCAGTGACATCCACGGAGAGCTCGTCCAATCACAGGGGCGGCTCGAGGATGTGTATCCAGGAGGAGGAGGAGGAAAATGCACCGGATGCTGTTGCTATGGTAACACTGCTGCTGTCTCAAATTTGAGAATGACGAAAAAGATGTCAACAAAGATATTTGAATTATTTATGAGCCTATTTATTGATCTGTACCAGTGCAGGCTGCATTACCAAGACATTACACCTATTTGTGGTCTGGAAAATCATTAAATGTAACTCTATTTATGTTCTATATACATATATATGTTCTATTCAATATAATTGTATGTATTTGATTACATTTTTTTTTTTTAAATAAAATAAAAAAAATAAAAAATCTGTTTTTTATTTCCTATTATTTTGAGAATATAATTTAAATGCTTTTCTTTGCCCGTGTACAGCACTTTGCCTTATTACCCAATGTGCTGTACAAACAAAGCTGCCTGAGACTCTCTTACAAGACAACTCTCAGACTCACTACCTGAAAGAAATCATTTATAAAACTAAATTATGGAACAGGTTTAAAAACAACAACAACGTACAGGCTTTAGTTTTAGTCTTATAATGACATAAATATGTGCAAAATCAAACAGAGCTCAAAGCACAGCATTTAATTGACATTTATTTATTTGCAATATTAGATATTACACAATTTGGAATTTACAGAAGCAGAACTATCAACATGAAATGTTTAATTATACACAAATAAAATAATTTCCCCAAGTAAGTTAAAAAAAAAACAAAAGAAAAGAAGAAGAATAAGAAGAAGAGGGGACAGTTTATATTCAGGACCGGCATATTTCGTGGTGTGATGTAATCTAACGAGCACTGTAGCCGGTCCTATCAGGATAGTTTTGGGAGTTTATTTTACAAACTGTCATTTTGGCCTCAAACTCAAAACTTGTCTAGCAATAATATCACAGAAAAAGATCAGTTAAATGTATTTTACTTATTAGACAATATAGAACTAATAATTACTAAACAAATACAAATTCAGGAGTAGATTAAAGATAAGGCAAAGTTCACAAAAAGCATGTCCTCTCAGTCCGACGGTTGAGAAGGTGCTTAAGTCAGTCCGACCAAACATTCTAATACTGTCCACATCTTTCTGATCCAAATCTCAAACAACTTCCATGTGCAGGTGTATCCACGACTTTCAAGCTTATTTGCCAAAAAGGTGAAACAAACATTCGGCTCGACGCCTTTTATTCGCAGGTAAAATAAATAAGGGAAAACATCTCATCGATCTAATAATAAACCTAAACTTTGAAAAGAGAATGAAGGTTCAAACAGCTGCTGTGAACCTTAAACTCCAGATCATCTGATCAGACTCTCTCGTGGGTGGATTATACGTCTGCTGCAAGATGTTAACATGCAGTGGTGCCCATATAAAACACAAAACTCAACATTTCAAAATATATTCTCATGCACTGGATCACTTACAGTGTTTCACCATGGCATTAAACGTATCCGACAGTACAATCTAATGTGTTTCTGTGAGGAGGAAAAATCATCTCAATCCCTTACAAACATCGTTTTTAATCACTGCAACTTCAGATCGCCTCAACAACACAATTAGATGACAAACTATTATTACACTATTATGAAAGTTACTTTTCCGTAAAATGTGGCCTTTTTGTACATTAAAAAGCAATTCTATGGCCTTGCTCGGACAAAAGGCTGTTGTCCCTCTCAGGTGACAAGGCGGTGACAGGGACGAAACGTCTCGAGCTTCTCCGCGCTCCGACGTTCGATCCCCGGACACAAGACGGCTTATCGTAGGCTAACACAACAGATGGCGGCCCTTTGAGGAACCTCCAGCAGAGCTAACGTCGCTTTAATAAATTACATTCATCATAAAATAGAAGAGATTACATTTTTAAAAGTGTTCTTTTTCTAATGTTGAACTATTAACATATGCAAGTATACTCCTTATATTCCAACTAATCATGTATGAAGGGAAAAAAAAAGAAAAGTGAACAAATGAAACATGTCTTGGTGGATTAATCACACAAAAGTGTACACACACACCGTTTTCTTTAAAAAGAAAACGGTTGAAAAGACAGAACAGGGAACTAAAACTGTGTGTCGAAGAGAAAGCAACATATACGAGTGATTTACATCTTTTTGTTTTTCTCCTAACCAGACACAATACCCAGTCTGTCTGCTGTCAGTTTCAAACAAAGCAGGGCCATTGCATAATGTGGTACCGAACAAACTTAACTTAACCTCCTTAAATTCTACTTTACTACATAAAGTATTTAGCCGTGCATGAAGCACTTATCTTCTTAAAAGTGGATGAAATGAAGCTGGATGTTAACTCTCATACATAGCACACACACACACACACACACACACACACACACACACACAAACGTGAGCGTCAGCGAAAGTTAAATCAACTAATGCGCTGACAAAGCTTTCCGTCTTAACTGTGACTTAAGTAAGAGTGGATTTAATGAAGTGATTTTTTTCACACAAAGCCTTTTTAAATATGCACGGATATCCTCATCTGTACAATTCTTCAGGCACTTATAACATTCAAATATTACAGTACTGACAACTGATTGTAACATTAAGACTAACAGTTACACAACTCCTCCCCTTATACGATTACTACGATTACAGGAACTCTAGTTTGAATATAAACGGTGGTAATTTAACACCCGTTTCGTTTAAGGGTAACTTCGATTGGCTGCGGAGGATCTTCCCAAAAACATGTTCTGCTTCAGGAGCCGGTTTCACAGAGTAATGTGAGACCGGTGGTAATGTTAGGCCAGTCCGTACGCCGCAAATGTTGTCTAATTGAAGTCGGACAGTTTGCTTATTTGTCTTTTTTTATAATAAAGAGGATAAAATCGAAATGTTTGAATCATCGTTGCTTTACTGCCTTAAAAGGAAAAGTATCTGCAGCAAATGGATGATACAGTATTTAAATACTGTATATGCAATGCAAAGGCACACCAGGAGGTGGAGCACTGATCCTGTTCTCTGAGGCTGACAGGGTGAACGAGACGGATGGACTAACCACAATCTAAAGGAAACTATTTAGTTTGAAATAATTAAAGCTGGCACTAGATACACAATCATTAATAAAAACAAGTTTACATTACACATTCAACAAAAGGAAAAATAAGGTACAATTTAAACAATCTCTCATATAGGACTCCTTTTCACCTGGTTTTAACATGTATGCTTTGTAGATTAGATCTGTCCTGCTCATCTTTTCCTCTTGTAATATTTACAAAATTATTATTGTCCGTTTGTTTCCATATCATATTATATTATCTTATCATATTAAGGAGTTACTACTGTGTCTATACTGCCTGTTTTTGTTTAATTTCCATGTGTTTCCTGGTTGGATTTGTCCAGAAAAGGTAACTTTAATGAATGAGGCTCTTATATGCAAACTAATTAAGAGGCTAAATGCACTTCTGAGCGTGTCAGAATTAGTTTAGGAAATAGAAACCCGGATATTAAGCACGTTACTGAGGATGCATGTTAATGCGGGTGCAAAGGTGCGTGCATACAATGATCTTCTGTGACAATCTTATAACACAGTATAATCCTAGTAACTGAGCTATGTAAATTTATTATGAGAGATCAAAGTAACGTCTCCAACGTTTTCCATCGGTGGCGTTATCGGCATGCAGCTAGTTGCAGGTTGTGTGTGGCGTTGACAGAATATTTACAGAGCAGTTGTTTGGCGTCTTTAACGGCAGCGACACGGCACAGACTTCCGTTTCTGGTGGTTACTTGAGGATGATCTGTTCCAGGAGCAGAATACAGAACACTTAGTGGTGGCATTCAATGGAAATACACTTACCACATGTGTTTTTTGTTACATGACTAAAGTGCTCATCAAGCATCATCATTGTGATGGGAAAACAATTGATAAAAATCAAATGAAACAAAGACTTTAACCCCCTAAACTGGAAATATTGCATACGTGTATAACGCATTTTATACACTTTTTCCCAGAATTCTGCTTAAAAACAAGCAGCAATATATAACGTTGGATAACTCCACTGCAAGTTAAAGTCACATTTGCAGCTGAAGCTAACAAAATATAAATAATACAAATCTTAAAGTCAAATATGACACAGATCATACAAACTGAACATCTCCAGTCCTGAAAGATGTCTCATTACAGTTTGATTCATAAAAATCAAACCCTAATCAGGACAGTATACGACAGATGATAATAGTACAATTAATACAAATATTGACTAATTAAATAACCAGCATGACAAGTACCAAAGCTAATATTGTGTTCAAGTATTCAGAGAACTGCATATTAAGTAATTAAACAGGCGCTGAGATGGAGCAAAGCAAAACACGTGCAATAAAGAATAAATGCAATTTATTTTCAGATGGAAGACGTAAATACTGTGAGGACTGTCTGTCATCGGGGGAAGGGGTGAGAAGCAGTCTACTGGTGCTCTACAGGTAGGTGAAGCTGAACGACAAGCAATGCAAGCAAGGAAACGCTCTATTGATGAACTCCGGATGTAAAGATGAAGCACTTTATTCGGAGCTCAAGGATCTGTAGAAGAAGAGGAAAGAAGGAGCAAACCTGATTGGCTGGTGCTGACGCGGTGGCTGCGTAGGGCACACTTGTGGCGTGAGAAGTTGCTGCAGAGACAGTAGCAGGCGAGGCACTGTACATCATGGGGACTTTTTCAGGAAGGGAACCATGAAAGCAATGAAAAGGGAGGTGGAGCATTATGGTAACCATAGCAATGTGTTTCCTCTCTCTTGCCAGGCAAATACAACATGACATCATCAGCAGCGGCGGCGGCAAGCCATCATCGGGTTAAACCAGCAGGTGTGATCGCACAGCGCAGCGAGACAGCGGGGGAGAACGTAAGAGGGTAGCTGATAAGAGATAACATCTGTCCATAATGAGACGTCAGAATCTACACTAAAGCCATCAGACATGTTTTAATAATGTGAAACATTTCAGAGGAACCTAAGGGATGCTGATCATTTCCTGATCCATGGTGCGAGGTATCTCAACAAACAAAATCCACCAAATGGCTTAAATTATTATATTGCTATTATTTATACTACTGTTAGACTACCTGAAGGGATGTTTGAGAAAGGATTATTGATATTACAAGAAATAATATACCACAAGAATTGATTATAAAACAAAAACACACGCGCATATATATATATATTCACATTTACAGAAAAAAAACTAATCATTCTCTCTGATGATATTAGAAGTGGTTTAAATGCTGTTCCTGCTTTCCTATACTGTAACAACAAACACTTCAGATGACTATGAAAGCGTCACACATATTCTACATTGATAATAATGAGACATACTTATATATTTGATAAATAAGGAGAGGACCTACCAATGCTGTTACCGGGACCCATGCAGAAGAGAGAACCTGTGTGGAAGAGAGAATACAATTTAGCGTGATCGACACATATCAATGACACCACATGAATACATATTTGGTGAGGTTAGCGCAAACATTTAACACCCAGAGTGACCGATTTAAAAGATATGCAGATTAAATTAAGTAAAACACTACATCTTATTTCTTCAGGCGAGTCACAAGGAAAGTGTGAATGATATTTGTGAGCAGTGCATCGTATATAAAAAGGAAGAAGCTCACCTGTCGGGTAAAATGTGGGCTGCTGCTGCAGCTGCGAGTTGGCCAGAGCCTGTTGGTAGTGCAAAAAGCTGGGGCTGAGCAGAGAGCTGGCCCAGCTGCTCTTCTCAAACGCTGGTCTCTTTGGTAGCGGTACGCTGTAGGGATAGGCCTGCGAGGAAACAAGAGACGAGACATGACACACCAACACTTCCTCTTCCCTCTCTTCATCTACATTTGACTTAATATTTAGTATTCATCTATAAACAAAAAAAATATATATATATATATATGGAGAAAAAAAACGGCAAACACAACTACACAATAAAGATGATTATCACATAGCGGAAAAATCAGGCATGTTTTAGGATACAAATATGAATGGAATAACCAAAAGATTTTAAACAATCTATCAAATTAAGTATTTAAAGCTACTGATGATGACTGTGTACACAAAGACTATATGAGACTTGAAGAAGCTTTAAAATCACAATGACAAAAATGAAAAGTTATTACAGTACAATTAAATGCTACAACCAAAGCAAAAGGTGAAAATACCAGGTCTACAGTTGCCTCGAGGGATCGCTTCATTGCTTTGGCAGTCGACTGAGTCTTTTAATAGCAGGCAGCGAGCACATGATGGCAGTGGGCCAATGGGATTCAAGCGTTTAACATACAGGTAACAGCAAGCAGAGGTGCGTCATGGGGGACAGCATTGTGGATAGGTGAGAAGGGGAAAACAAAAACAAAATAATCTGAATGTAGTTTACAACATAAAACACAATATTCATGCACAGTAACCAAAATAACCAATTCAAAGGAACACACTAACTACATACTCCTTCATTAGTAGCTCAACATGTACAGTTACTCAATAGCTTCGGTAACACACATTCACAATGACAGGGCACCGTCTTGTATACTTCTTATACTGTATATAGTATAATTGAGTTTAATCGTAATCAAAACACTACCACTTACATGATGCAATCACTGCGATATACACACTATATACTTCTGAATACATACACAGATTTTTCAGGAAAGGGATAACAATGTAATGCACATCAAGCACTGAACGTTTGGATTGTTAAATGAGAAATGATTTGGTTTTATGAGTAATAGCCAAAGGCAACAAAGCGATGTCATAACACACAGAATGCGGAGCTCCATCTGACACACTAAGGTTTGTGTCGCCTTCTCTACTTGTGCTGTACAATATAATTGCCTCTGTGAGTTTAAAATGCCATCTAAATTTCATGCAACAACAATATAGTGTAAACGTAAGTAACCATAAAGGATGATATTACTGGAATGTGACGTAGATGGTCTATGGAGGGCAGGGAAGCATATTTTACTGAAGCCACATGGCCGGTGAGAGACCTGAACATGAATTATCGTTTTGTATTTTAAGATAAAACTGAAACCAAACGAAGGGGAAACTGTCGAGTTGGTCGATAATATAGAACAGATGACTTTTGTGCCACTACGATGATTCATACTTATATAGCACATTGTTCACTGTTTAACAAGCCATGTCTGAAATATAAAAATATATGTAAAGCTCTGATTTTGATTGACAGGCCTTTTACTACAATAACTTGACAACAACAACCATAAATCTAATCTTTGTAATCTATGCTCCGAATTATCAGAAGAGAAAGTGCAGCGTTCCCATTTATGACTAAACATCACTGTTAAGGGCTTACTCTGCCACTACATTACCTACATTAGAAATAATAGTCGTGCTCCACATTCAGTGATGTCATGGCAAACACAATTACACCAAAAACCTCCATTATTATTGGCAAAAATCAGGTGTGTTTTTTGTGTGCAAAGTGAATAAGGCTCAGTCTTACCATGCCTGCAGCTGCGGCCTGGGCTGCCACGGCTGCGTGATTGCCTTGCTGTTGACTGGATTTGATCTTGGCCTGCAAGTGCGCAGGCGGGTGGAAATACTTGCACTTCTCCCTGGAGCAGCGGCTCTTGATGTAGTCCATGCAAACGGTGACAGTGTTATCGGTGGTGTCGATCATCGGGCTGTCACTGGGGTGAGCGAAGCGGCAATCTGTCTCCCCTCTTGCACAGTTTCCACGCTGAAACTCACGGCACACCTGAGAGGAGCGATTAGAACAAACGGTGAGCGTGAATGCCGCATTTCGGCATGTAGCCAGATTATGTCAACCCACAGAACTACTAATGATTGTTTGTTTTTTTCGTTGTGGTGCATGAGTACCTCTAGTTTGTCTGTACGCTGCAGCTTCTGTGAGGGAGAAGAAGAAGAAGAGGAGGAGGAGGAGGAGGAGCTCTGGACTGTGACAGTAGGGCTCCCAGAAAGCAGAACTTGGCTGCTGGAGAGGTTGTCTGTTGGGATGAGGCTCATTCCGTGGCTCATAGGTGTCATGTATGAACCATAGCCAAGACCAGTGTTTGTACCCAGTCCCTGTGCAACATGAAATGTCGGCTATGAGGGAAAACGTGACATATTACAAGGGAGACGAGCACCATAACACAAGAAGACGTTCCTCCCTAAAGACTGTGAGGACCTTACCTGCAGGCTGGGTCCCGGGATCATGAGCTGCATCTGTTGGGCGAGCACGGCTGCCGCTGTCTTTTGCTGGATGAGGTTGTTGCGCCCGTTTATCTCCAACTGGGTTTTTAAGTGTGAAGGTGGGTGAAGATACTTGCAGTTTTCTCTTGAGCATCGGCCCTGTATTTAGGGAGAATAGAAAAGGCATGAAGAACACTTCGTAGCATTCCTGTAAATTATCTTGTTGTTTCCTATCATGAACTATTACAGATGTTCAGACAGGGCTGTAAGGAGCATGATGGTCCAATGGGAATGCAATGGTGATTTGCATTATATTTTCAACAGTCTGGTTATTAAGCTCAAGTATTACTATCTCATTTTAGACTTTAAAATGAGCCTACCAATTTTATTCCCATCAATCATGCATCTGCATTAGCCTAATGAGAGGTTAGCTTCCCCCTGCCCCTTATATTCAAATCTAGTTAACTAATTTCATATAATTTGCATTTCTCCCGAGAGATTTATATTAATTACTTTCAGTGGATATCCATGTAGGTTGAACTGTCCACATCGTTTCATTAGTCTGGCTATAGCTGAGAAAACGCAGCACCGAGAGAAAGTATTCCCCCCCCCCCCCCCCCTTTAATGTTTTATTGTTGTATAACTTTTTAGTTTACGGTTGCTTGTTAGCATGAAATGAAAGTATGCCTTGAGTATTACACGAGGGAGCTCCATTGACGACTCTTTGTCTTTCCCGTACGTGATGAACGGGTATGCTCAGTAGAAGTCTGAGAGTCGTGAGCGCTCGCCTCTGGAAACAGCTCAAGCTTGTGTATCAACAGGACTCTCACCTGCTTTAACGGAAGTCATGCGCCGCTAGTTACAATAGCAAAGCATGTGCACAGTCTGTATAATAAGGTTAACTCTGTTAGGAGCCAATAAAATGCCTAAACTGCAAAGTAAGAGCAAACAACATTGGTTTGTGAGCACGACTTGGGCAGCTAGTTCTACGTGTATATTAATAATAAGTAAAGGCTGAGGGTGAGCAACAGCTACTAAGTTAGCACCAGTTGACATTATACCAGTAGCAATGTTGGGAACAGACAAAAGCCTATTCATAAAGACATAAAGATTCATGTGACGTCATCACATGACTGCAACAACTGTGCGTTGACCTCTTATTTCCAACCTCGCAACAGACAGTAGGGATTCCACATCTCTATTGTGTAGAATTGTTCTATTGTTTATTTGCAAAAGTGCACAAACATTAAGTCCACAAGTTAATCTTAATATTTTGATCCAAACATTTTGAGAGCCACATTGAGGTCAAATCAATAAATGTTGTTTTTAGATGGAATAAAGTAGCTCATTTGTGGTAAAACCTTCGGTTCAGGCCCGACCAATAGAGCACAGAGAAGGCCAGACAGGCAGTGTATAAAGTGCCTTCAGTGAGGAGATAAGACGATGACTCAACAGGAGTATAATCCTGGGAGCAAAGCTGCATTGTGTGATGATAGTGAATATGTGAGGCTGGATTAAGGCGGCCTTGGTCTCATTCAAGGCAACCGAGCAAACAGGAGAATAAACTATCTGTAGTCCAACATCTGACTGGTATCTTACTCTAGTTTTTTGGGGGAAAAGTGTCTCTTTGAATATGATGAAACAAACACCCTGACCCATGTCCTGTTTTTATCACTGTAGGTTTGTTTGACTGACAGGTTTAACTGTTTCTAGATGGAGCCTGCACCCAAAGAGCACTTTGATTAATTTCAAAAAATGAAGTTTTGATGTGCAATAATACAATAGAGAAAGCATTCACTCAGGGACACAGGTAACAGCTTTCATGGGGTATAAGATAAGATAAGACATTTGCAAAGTATAAAGTATACAGTCATGTATATAGAGGGTGTGCAGTATTTCTTACCTTCAGTGAGTCAAAGCAGGCAACAACTCTCCCATTGTCAACTTGGCAGCTCTTCGGTGGATGAGCAAATTTGCATTCCTCATCACTGCGTGAACAGTTTCCTCGCTGGAACTGTCGACACACTTCCAGAGTTAGCCATTTTGTGTCTCGTACTGAAGAAAGGTTCAACGCCATGACCGAAGGTTATAATCATAAATTAAAAATGTTTTAAGTGAATCTATTGGGCCTCATACACCAAAAAAAAGCTGTAGGGTTGGCTTTATGTGCAGAGTCCTCTTTTAAAACAGGCTGGCGAGTCCTCCATCAGCTGGAGCACAATGATCAGATGGCTGGCCAATCACTGACAGATCGCCCATCAAAAAGAAACAGGAAACACCGGAGACGTGTTGTTGTTTCTCCTGAAACATTCAAGAGTATACTCCACAAATGATGGTGGCCATAAATATCAGACAAGTGAGGGGGGAATTTAATGAGTACTTGTCATTTTAGTCATACATTCTCAGGTCATTATTATCTGTGGCTCTATTTCAGCGTTTTTAGGGGCTTGTTGTTGCTCAGAGTGGTGCTGGAGTCAATCAATGCAGACGGACCAACTTCAAGTCCAGGATGTGTTCTCGAAGGCACCTTTTGTTGGTGATCTGAAAGACAAAAAGCGTGTATGTTACAGAATTTGTATCCAAACAAATGAATTACAATTATGGTGCAAATAGTCTACAAGTTGGCGTGTTTAGAGCTACCGTAAACACTCATAACATCTCATGGGCTTTCTTCTATTCGCGAGAGACTTCTACAGCAGTGTACAGCAAAAAGCAGATTAGGTCACGCAATAACAAATGTGGTCTTTTTGTAATTAGTCAAGTTATATTTAGCTATGTCAGACTCCCAAGAGCCAAATAGTTGAAGTCATTTCCTAAACAGAAGTCATTCTCTGGTTCCGGTTCCTCAGATGGGAGCATGTGCTGCTTTTGTCTCCGTTATATCACCGTTAACAGAGTCTTGTTTGTCCTCTTGGAGTTTGGGATATTGTGATGGACATTTTGTGGATTAAACAATTACTCAAGAAAATAATTGGCAGATGAAGGACAAATGATAATAATGGACAAGACCTGAAAAGTCAAACACCGACGGCGAACTGGGAGTAACAAAACGATACGAGCGGAATACGTTTAAGAGGAGCCAGAGCTTTGAGTACACAGCGGGCAGTATTAAAATGTGTTGAACAAACCACCAGACTGAGGAGCAGTCAGCGTCGTGGAAGCTATGTCTGCGTACAGACTGACGATAGCACTGCATCAAAAGTCTGCCCAACAACTTCAGTGAGGCGGTTTCCTTCTTGGTAACTTGGACAATACTTCTCTACAGTACTTATTGTAGTACTCCTGTGATCTTTGTGTTTGAATCCACATTAATCTCTCAGCCAGTCTGGTTTTTGTCTGCACAAACATCTCACGATGAACACCGTGACGTTCTCCAGCCTAATGTTGCTAATGGTAGCTCCAGCCAGGCCTCTTCAATAACAATCAACAATGTTAACCATATTAGAAACACAATGCCACAGTTCTTGTGCTAATCAGGGATGTGTAGCTAGCTGGTGTCATGGTAATCAATAAATCAATAACAGCACAGAATGTAAACATGTTCAAAGCTCCAATCCACAGGGCCATAACATGAATGTTACACATATAGATTCAGGTGTCACTCTCTGTTTGCTATTACTATAGGAAGACACGAGTGCTTGGTGCTAAATTGCTACCATCAGATATGCTGACTCTTTGCCCACCAAAGCACATAGAGAATAGAAGGACAAGCGAGGTAAAGCTTGAACACACACCAGAACGGGACAGTCGGACCAGCATACTGGCTGGTAAAGCACACAGGAAGTTGCTGAGCGGGCAGAAAAAGGTGGTTAATTCGTGAGCAGAATAAATACTTAAAAGAGTTGAGAGGTTTCTCCACTGGGAGCAAGTATCACGGTCTACACATGTACAAAGAATCCAAAGGCACATATTGAAAATAAAAACCTGCTGTCGTTTACCCGGATCGTCTGCTATAGCAGCCGCTCGGCTTTACTGCATGCTATCCCACAGCATACTGCAGCAAATTCCTTTGGGCGCAAGTCAGGAAACAGAGCAAGAAAACCTACCTCCCTCACTTCATGGAGCACTAAAGAACTTCTTTCCTGGACCGAGGATTTAGGTTAGGTATCCAACTTTTTAGCAGCTAACTTGTTTGTATAGTGACCGTAATAACAGCTTTCAACCCCCACTCTGTTCCACAGATTCAGTGACCAAAGATTTCCTCTTCACAACAGTAAAAATTTGCCTGTCCAACTCTGGCTGAAACATTTCGAGCCACCCCCCCTTCCTGTCTGGGTGCCAACCCTCCGGGAAGACCCTCCCAGTCAGAAGTCGGCCAATAGAAAGGCAGGAGCCGATGCACTGTTTGTTCACAGCTTGGAGCAAGGCACTGCTGGCAGTTGACCCTTTATTGAATCAAATGTAATGAGTTAGGAAGAGAGTGAGTTCAACAATTATAGTATACCTACTAGCACTATACAAACCTTTTGTCTAAATGAGACTATGCACAGAGCATGTAGCACATCAATGTACTGTATGTCCTTTACACAGTGCCCTGCAAGTAAATTAATAAAATGTATGTAATATACGCCTATGTCAAAAGCTCCATTTTGTATTACTTGCCGGTTAATCATAGCTCCACAAAACGGCCTCAGTATGTTTCTATTAAATTTTGTACCACTCCATAATAAGACAAGTTTTCAACTTCAATATTGATATCAGAGTATATCCACGTGCTGTTGTTTTTTTTACTGAAGAAAGTTCTCCATCATTATATTTACTGTTGTACCATCATTTCACTTCTAAATTATGCAATATAACACATGTTAAATGTCATTTCTCATGCAATATAACATACCCACCATACAAAATATGGTAATAATACTGCATTTCATATCACACTTTTGTGGAGCATCTTCATGCCCAGAAATTCTGCAAACCTACCTTAATAACACGGTGTTGATCCAAGATCATACACCCAGATTTTGCAAAGATGCATAAATAATTAATTCACTTGTGAAATCCAGAATGACAAATCCCAAGATGACAAGCTAATGTGTTTTTACTAAATTTAGCAGAGATTAACCTCCTGTTGCGCAGCTGACTTTGTGTTGTTTAAATTGTATTTTTCTTGGCGATTTTTCTTTAATTTTTGAACATGAGGCAACTTCTAATGTGTATTTCTGACACATGCTGCCATATTCAGTCCACTTGTAGGCGGGTATATGCACACTTAAACGCCTTTTGTGCGATTGTAATTGTATTTGAAGCCGTGAGAAACTTTAAATCATTTGTGTAGGATTGTTGTCAACATTTGATTTGGAAGGGGAAACGTGAATTTCGGTTGTCTGATAATGGATGCCCCGCCCATACCACGTTACTGTATACACTGTACAGATAACGTTATGTCTCTCAATTAACAGACAGCGGAAAATACAATAACTCTCCAATGACATGTCAACTAACGTCAACGTTACCTGGCATCATCGTCTGCAAACGTCGTGTACTGCATGTTAACTCTGATATGCATTCTCATCCTCGGCTACTTTAGCTAGCTAACCACAAACACTTAGCTAGCAAGCTAAAGACACCGCTGTCACGGGGCTAAATGGTATAAAGAACGTTAACATTAGCATTGACGTTTATTAGCTTACGTTAGCCGCACTGTTAGCCGAGGAGTGCACCTGCTTACCTCATCATCACGGATGAACCGCTTTCCCAGAAGGAAACAGCAATCACGCACCAGCTCGGACAGTCAACATTAACGAAAACAAGATGTCAACTGCTCCCGGAAGGTCTGTTCAACCACCCAATTAACGTGTTGCTCTGTTCATAGAATCGCAGCTTGTTATTTCGACCTCGTTTCTTCTTTACTTTACTGTAGCACTGCACAGATTTAAGCTAAGCAACAAGCTTTTGACAGCTTACTGTACGTTCGTCAGTCTAATGTGATGACGGTGTTTCCCGGGGGTGAGCTGAGAGGCATTCAGGTTATCGATAATTAAATATACACCGTTTAAAATAGAGGACATCAAACTAAATGTAACATTACAATGTAAATGTATTAGGTTAAGTTTAACGTAGTCATCTTTTGGCTAAAGTAGACCATTCTATAACTTATTATCCCCTATCATCCCCCCCTACGACAGGAAAGTGGTACGATCCACACGAATGCCAGTAGACTGAAAGGGCAAGGGTTTGCTTGTTACCAAGGGAACAGCCCAAAAAAAACTTGAGTTTTTGTGCTGTTTTTGTGAGAAAACACGCTTTAATACAATTATCTAAAAAATAAGTATATTAATATGAATTTCATAATAGTGTGGTGTAAATATTGTTCCCTATAATTTGTATTAATCCCTGATGAAGTAGCCCATCCTGAAGAGTTGTGTATACAAATTATTTGTATGAGAAATAATGATAATGAAAGGCTTGTTATAAGAGTTGTACTGAAAAACCTGTGATTTGTATAATCCGTGTATGAAGCCCAGCTTTATTGGTCTGCTCAAGGTCAAATAAGATGGATGCTAACACAGATCAGATCAGTCAGGGCGGGTGAGAGGGAGGGAGATTTCTCTACTACCTTTAATAACAGATTCCTCCCATAATAATCTATGTCAGCGCCACATTCTGTCTTATCTGTTTAGTGCTAGACTTTACAAAGCATGCGCCCCTGATGGCTATTTTTTCTTTATACAATAGGCCGAAAGTATGGAGAGCACCCCCTTGTTTGCAGTAGATTTACACTGGTACTATATGTGAGTGTGAACCATTCGTCTGAACACAGAAAAAGATCAGCAGCCTGTCATTTTACAGTATGACAGTGATGGTCATGCTCCACATCATTGGCTATAGCAGTCTTACAGCAATGTACGTGTGCTGATGATGGTGTAAGGAGCACCATGCCTTGCTTTTTAACTGAAAAACATGAAAATATTCACAGGACAAATGTAAGTTTTGAATGCTTTGAGTGGCATGTCAATGTTTATTCGGGGGGGGGGGGACAAATGAATCAATGTAATTTAGCATATTCATTTTATACTTCAAAAATGACCTTTGTGTGTGGCGAATGTAACATTTTACCCATACTTGACATAAAGTTATTGTTTTTGCTCATGCAAAACACACATACGCACACACCAGTTGTGACTAATCGATTGATTGCTTTCTTTTTATTTTTCTCCTGGCTTCTTGAGGCAACAGATGAGATTAATCTGACCTGTCAGACTGACAGATCCCTTCAAGACACTGGAGATGTGGCATCAAGTTCCACAGGGAAAGGTCACCATATTGCTCCCTTTGAGGAAAACGTCACTGTCACTCAGATGACTCAGATATAATTACAAAGAGAATGCAGCAATCCCTGCTTTCATTTATTTTACCGTTATACCCTGTTTGTTGTTCACATTTCATGTTATTTACATGCAATTAGTACATCACTGTACATCACATTCTGAGTGCACTACAAAATGTAGCTGTGCATTGTGGGTTAACAAGCATATACTTTCAACATAAACTGCTGTTCATCACTCAGTCAACCTGCTGAACTTAAAATGGTACTTACTTGAGAAGTCACTGCTAGTTAATACCTGAAAAGATGGGGGAAATACTTTGCTTTTTATGTACTTATTGTCACGACACTACTGATAAACACAATGTAAAGCATTTGGTCGCATTGTACACTTGCAGCTCATTTAATTGTGAGGAGCAACATTCCCATCTAGTGGTAAAAACTGTAAAGGAAGAAAAGCTGAACTGATGGTTGTGTTTGAGGATAAGAGTCAGTCGCATTTCTTCTTCCATTTATTATTGATGGAAAAAAAAATGTCACGAGGAAAACTGGGGGGTTTCTTGAGTGTTTATAGGAATTAACAGCCAGTAGAATAATCAGGGGACACAAGATAAGCAGCGATTCAGTTATACGGCCTGTAGATGTCAGTCTTCTGTAAAATATATTTTCACAAATTGACAAACCTAGAGGCTCAACAGGGGGTGCACTGCACGCTGGTCCAGAAACCCAACAGTGAGGTGTTGGTTTTGTGATGCAAGCTGTAGCCCATCCTCTGCTGAGTGAAGGTGTGCAATGTGGGTAAATAGATGACCTGCATGTTAAAATGAGGATCGATATCAATATTCAGAGTCGTGCTTGTTCTCTGATCTGACAATATCTACAAGCTCTGCCTGGTCCAGATCAACCCAATTAATGTGAATATGAACTTTAAACAAAGGCAAAGTTGGTCTTTTTTGGGAATTTCTATTTATGCTAACATTATTGTGATTCTAAGATCATTTTACAGTAGATCTGATCTTGTGATTCTTTATTTTGATTATGTTATTGAACAGTAAAAACAGAGAACATTTCTTGTTTTGTTGCCCATCTGAATAAAGTGTTAAATGTAATTGCTGTTGATAAGGATGTTCATTCTAAATGTTTTCACATCAGTATCAGGTACCGCATTTTGTGCTGACTTTAAAAGCTCAGAAAGTAAAGCAGCTGTCTTTGAGCGACGGTGCATTTGTTTCTTGCAGACATTACACATTGTCTACGGTTAAACATAGAAAATAATACAGTCATACCATCTGGGTGGAAATGATTTGCTGCAGTCACTATAGCTGAAACGCTGAGTCAGCCATACAGTACAACCTGGAGGGAAGCAGTCTCTGCATGTCAGTATAGAGTGATAACGTGAAGTGTGCTTTGGAAAACACCAAGTTTAATTCGATATGTCACTTTGCTTTAATGGTGAATGGGAATGTATTTTTCTGGCAATATTCTTGCACTTCCCAATCAGATCCTAATCCTAAACTTCCTAACAAAATCAGTGATCTAATAACAATAAAATAATACATTTATTACATTTCACGCTGCTTTTCCGGGAGCCATTTATCAGTAAATCGCTACAGTAAATGTGTTAGGTTATCACTGTATCTGCAGATATGTTCTTCAATTGTCATCTGGCCCACAAGTAATGCTGCTCTTGCTTATTTGGGTTGAAATAAATTGAAATAAGAGAAAATATAACGCCGGTGAGAGAAGCACTGGATGTGCTCATCTGTAATTAGGCCTGATAAAAGCACCAGACACCTGCTTACCTTGTTATTCCTTCACATCGGAAGAAAGTAATTGTGTGGCGCCGGCTATTTCTGAGTCTGAACATTTGTTTTGTGTAACGCCTTCTTGATCTTTTGCCAGATGAAAAGATGTCAGCAAAGGAGTCTTGCAGGTGGTTCTGTCTACATCAGAAGACAACGTTCCATATTTGTTGACTGACACTATTACAGTAAATTACAGTCAACATAATAAAGGAATACATGTCTATGCAACATCACATATGGGCTAAAAACATAGTTGAATTGTAAATATCTCACTCCCTACTAGGACCTTAAAGTTGCTTTCTTGGGGTTCTTTCTGAAATCCATTGTGAACATCTCTTTTGGAAGACAGACGTTCTTGCAAAACACCCACAAACTTATATTCATCGGTGGATATCTAGCTTGAGAACATAAAACCGACACACACTGTAATGTCATGGCCATTCGATGCATTTATTTCAGATATCTTAAGCAGAAGTCACTCATTTTTTTTCAGTTCTGAAAAAAATGGCAGATTAAATATTACACGCCAAAAGGATTTTAGACTGTTTCATTTCATCACAAGACTTTAAACATGTACATAGAAATTCTTACACTAAGAAAGCTCTCTTCCATTACAACTGAGGTGTTGGTAGTACTGGTATTTTTATGAAGCCAATTATTAAGCAACAATTGAAATTATATAAAGAAACAAATAAAAACAGAGAAATCTGACTCTCAGAGATATGAAGTGGCAGTACAAGTTCATTAAAATGCTCCTAACAAAGAGGCATGTCACACTTTTCTGGGAATGTCAGACTGCCCCCCCACCCCCATCACTTTATTTACACCATAGTATGAGAGTTTTCACTTTTACAATTACAAAATTGGGGGAAAGTCTTTTAGGACATCATTTGGTGAAAACAAATACTAAGAAGTCACAGAAACAATAAGCCTGAACATGTCTATATCGTTGATTATGCTAAGGCAATGGATGCACAGTAAATTAATTGAACTGGTCTTCCTCTTCTTTTGGCACCGAACTACATCAACACCATTCAATATAGGAACTTCATTTTCTATGTTAAAAATGTTCAGCTCATTGAGGACATTATCGCAAGTACATGTTTTTGGTTTAATTAAGTATTTTTTGTGAATTTTTACCTCATTCAAATGAATGGACAGATCGTGGGACATGGCATGCATACTGGGGTTTAGGTGTTAATTAAACTCTAAAATGACTCTTCAACATCCTTCCTCCTTTGCACTTTTCATACATGTTTTACTTTCATCGAAAATGTAGAAAAATGTGCGGTCTTTGAAACAATGTAACTCTCTGAGCGAACAGACCTCAACAGTTTGCGCTGTGAGCCTCAAAGTGACAGGAGTGCCATCCATCTGGCCCATTGACTGCAATGTTAACTGAGGGGACTTTTCTTAGCTCGCTCTACTTTCCCACATACCGTCCTACTTCCCAACACTCTCTTTCAAAATGTAAAAATCTAGAGATATGAATTACACATTTCTCTATTAAATGAACCGTCTGACACAAGAATCACTCAGCAGTTACCATTTAAAAGCCAACTGTTAATTGCAGGCGTGAGGGGAGGGGAAATGTGCTAATTAGAGTTATTTTCTGATCTCTGTGGTGTCACAGTAGCTTTGTTACACCTAAACACTTTAATTTTTTTAACCTTCTTAACAATTTTGCTTCCTTTCGTTGCTCTGCCTCTCCGGATGAATCGCTGTGAGGGATCAGTCTGTGCATTGTACCTCACAGGACGCTTTAAGGCAGCGCAACACATGATGACAGAAACACACGGACACATGATAATAAACACACCTCAGCGACTTTGCAGCCAGACACACACACACACATACAAATATATATGTATATATAATCAAACTTAGGTATATAGCACATTTACAACAAGTGTTTCATTAATAGCTGTACAGCACCTCTACTGCTCATGCGGTGCTCGTGCCATCTGTCACTGGGGAACATTGCAATTCCTACAGCTTGTCACACAGCAGTGCTGCATGTTGGTTTATTAAAAGAAATTTCCAGAATAAACGTCCTTTTGGCAATTATCATTTTCAAAAGAAATACTTCTGGTGTAATAGCTATAAAATCAAGTGATAATACCATTTCATTTATATAAATCATCATTCATTTGATTATTTACACGTGCTTTCCTTCTATGACAGGTCGAAATGCCTTCACTGAAAAAGGCCTGTGTAAAAACATAAAAGTAATTATCCTGCATTCACTTTTACTAAAAGGTCCCTGAAACATATTATTAATCAGCTTATTACTATGAGCAATGGGGTCCTACACTTAATTCACTTAAGTTACTGGAATCTGATAAAACCAAGACCCAAACAGCTCGGATGGAGCAGAGTTTTTGACGATTTATTACCTAAAAAACTTTGGTTGATGTTTATTTAGTCATACATATTTAATGTTATATGGCATAATTTAGCATTAAGCAGAATACATACAATTTATTTTATATAAGTGGATTATTGTTAATGATCAACATAAGTCATGTTGCATGTATTTGCAATGTAACTGGCAACTATAGCTGTCAAATGAATGGAGTGGAGTTTAAAGGGCCTTTTGAATGTATAAAGTAGCATCAAATGGAGACAAAAATAATCCAAAATGACCCTTTATAATTTGCCATGACGTCTTTAAAATGATTTGTCCTTTTCACTGCTACAACACAAACTTGATGAATTCAGTTATAAATTCTACACAAAAACGATTCAATATTCAGAGCTGTAGCTCCTCTTGAAACAGTTGGGAGTTTTATCAATGTGCTATACACCTAGTCCTTGTTCTCATCCAGCCATCCACACACTCACTGAACTCAGACTAAGTGCATCCGTACAGACAAGTGCACCAATACAACTCTTGACAACTTTAACCTGTATTCATTCAACACATTCACCGCACGGGCTCGATGAATCATTCAAACCAGACGACACACGGGCGATTCTTTGAGATGAAATAACAAACTAAAAAGTAAATGCAATCACAGAAGAAATGAGAAATGACTGTTAGAATAGTAGCAGCAGTACCACTTCAGTGTTGACATTTAGTAAACATTTAATTTGATAAGCGGGGATTTTGAGTGAATGAGAGATAAGAGGCATGAAAAGCATCACTGAAGCCTATTTAAGCAGATGAAAAACAAGCCCTCTTTCATCTTCACGTGTCGCCAGGCTGATTGGATGTGAAGGACTGGAAACTACCGGGCAAAAAGAAATGACAGACACGTTTTTTTCTACCTGCTTTGAGGCTGGTGTTTTGTTGGCTGGTGCTCTGCTGGCATTGAAGCGCTCTCGCTGCCCACAGTGCAGTTGCCGTCAGCTCTACCAACATGTAAAAGCAGCCAGTGTGACGGGGAAGGGCGTGAGAGCTGAATGCTGATCATCTCATTCACAGTCAGGCCACACTAACGCATTTCATCACCTGTACTATTTACCAACCTTTTTATCTCCGCAACCCACTACTTCAAAAATGAATTACTCACAAAATATGCTTTTCTCATCACAGAGAACTTGTCTCCCTTTTTTCATGTAAAAAAAGAACAAGAAAAGTTATTTTGCACAGCACGATGTACTCTTTGTGGCCGTGCGATTGGCTTTGTGTCTACATGTTATCTTTGGGAGATGTGTTGAAGTCTGCAAAGTATTGCATTTCAGAAAATAATACTGGACTGTCACCTTCACACCATCAAATAGTCGTCTGTAATTTGGTTTAAAACATGCATGCATACAGCATGGTCTGCAGAGAGGGTTTCATTCTCATTGAATTCAATTTGTCTCATTGACTTTGGCTTTCAGTACAGTGCAGCTTTTGGAAATCGCTCTCCCGAATTGCAGTATAATGTTAACGTGTGACATGCAACCACCAGTTACTCTACAACTACATCATTCAAATGGTTCTCTACCAGTTGCAACAAAAGGCTTCAATGACGTTCATCGCTTTTGCTTTGAATGTCAAAATTAAAAGCAATGCAGTCTTTTGATCGTTTTTGTTTTTTCTTCTTCTCTCACCTCGGTTTGCTGTCTTATTCCGCCAACGAGAAATAACCAAGGCCAAAATTAAATGACGAAAAAAAAATGTACAAACAGCATTTAAAGATTTAAGACACCAAAGGGCACTCCAAGGCAGAGCTGCTGTGAGACTCACAGACTTGGCAGTTTTCATAAAGAAACAGCAGAGCACTCGGATCACACTGAAGCTGAGAAACGGACGGATGCAGGAGACAGATTAATGATGAGGCAGAAAGAGAGAGACAGAGGATGTGCCAGAGAGAGAGAGTCAAAGGTTTGAATCAAGTTTGTGAGGAATCTCTCTCTTGCTCCTCTCTCTGAAGACCAGAGCCTCACCAACGGGCCACTTGGCTTGTGTAGTCCTCAGTGGTGGCGGGGAAGTCCCCCTCACTCCCTTTCTCCAGCCCTCCTCCCCTCCCCCCGCCTCCATTTCCTCCCCCTCTGTGTTTGGGCGACCACAGCCTGCCCTGCTCTTTTTGCTCCCTCAGCCAACGCCTCTCCTCGCGCCTCTTCAAGCGCACCTCCTGGTGCTCCCTCTGGCGGGTGAACTGGAAACGCTGGAGGAACAGGTCCTTCGCGTACTCGTACAGCTGCACGTCCAAATAGTTGAGTTCCTCGATGCGTCTGCGCACGGGCTCGCTCAGGTCCACGTTGGCAGCTCGCGTGCTGTTGATCTGCGTGAAAGCGGCGATGAAGCGCAGGCTGAACGTCCGCTCGAACAGGTACTGCGTCTTGCGTTGAAACTCGGTTAGGCCGTAGAACGCCATGTTCTTCAGGTTGCTCATGGCGCTGCTCAGGAGGATGTGGTTACGCTGGCTCTCGTTCATAGAGGACAGGTTGTAGCAGCCCACCAGGCTCAGGTCAGCCAGCATGCGGACCTGACGGTTGTTGGCGAGGTTGGACGGGCAGTTCATGAAGTCTATCAGGGTAACACCGGACCAGTCGTCCCCATTGTAGCAGGTGGGCAGCTCGTCCTGGGTGGGCGAGCGTCCGTCGCACATATGGAGGGCGGTCTTCCACGTGGCCCCGCGCTGGACGTGTTTCCACTCGCTCAGATAGCGGGACACTGGGTCTCGCAGCATGGTGATGTAGTAGAAGTTCCTGCAGCCAAAACAAACACAGTTAGAGAGCTGTGGGCACGTCATCATCACAGAGGGCTGCCCTGCGTTGTGCTGACAGATGGTGACTTTTGTCTGTGTGTGAAACTTCAAGGTCGAATGCTAATTGGCAAACTGAAAAATCTCACTAATGAGATCATTACAGTTTCTATATGTTGCTTTAAAATTGCAGCAGAGTAAAGATTTTACAGAATTGAACTAGAAGCGTTTCCATTCCACAGATTTCTCCCACCTGCCAACATGGAGAATAATTGGGAATCAAGACATATTGGGAATCCATGGACACACAGAAAGTGAGTCAAACTGACCCAACTAAATCCAAAACATGTCACTGTTTCAAACTAACGAGGTTTCAGCAGAGGTGCCTTAAATTTGTTGCACTTTTAACTGGGTATCCTACCAATCATTTGTCCCCCAATCACAGCGGTCAGAGGAGAAAACACTGGCATTTTGGTGGTAATGTCTTTTTTAATAAACAAACTCCTCCCCTAGAGAGTGACCATGTCCTCAATCATTGAACGAGGAAGGGTAATAGATATAGAATACATTGAAATAGAGTGATACGTTTTTGGCAGTGTCAACAAAGGGACATTCAAAGAGAGTAACATGTTAAGTAAAAGAAAGTAAAATGTATTTATACAAGTGCTTAACACAAAAAAACAAAAAAGCAAAATGTCAAATATTGCTGCATGGGTACAATCACATTTGATTATGGAGTTGGTATTTGGCTTGAGAGTGACAGCCCACACACAGGGGGTTTCAGCTGCCCTTAATGCCAAGGTTGAAGACCTTTAAGGAGATCCACTCTGCTGAACCGCAGGTATGTCAAAGTGCACTCTGATGGAAAACAAATATTGGATATTGGACAGGTGTTGGCCAGGTAAACCTTTCCTAAGGTGATGTCCTGTGAGTGCAAGGTGAATATTTAATGACGTAACCCCCCCTCCCCAGAGAACAGTGAGGGCAGATAAAGTGGAGTGTGGCACTGAGATTTCACACTGACTCCAAAGCTGCTCTCGGTGCTGCTTCACTTCTTTCGGCACAACACACATCCACACAGTCTCTCTCCCAGGAGTGGAACTAAAAGAGCTACACAAACAGTCTCCTGTGCTTACACTTTCTTGTCCTTCAGGGTTGGATTCACACTGGAACGTGTTGCCAAAATCTTCATACAGGTTATCTTTAAGTGGGGGCTATACTGTTTGCTTGGACTGTAATGTGTTTCTTTTCACAACTACTTATTATGTTATTCTCCTTACCAGTTCTGCTAAATCAGCTCTAACACTGAGATTACATCATGGCCATTATCAGAGTCCGAGTCTGCTTCAGGAGTCTGTTCTAGAGCTGAAACAATTACACTGTTGATTTAATCGCCAACCTTTCGGATAATGGATTAATTCTTCTTCCAAACATTCTCTCTTTCTATCTTCTCCAACATGAGGATTTCACGCTTATTATTGTTGTATATTGTTGTCACCTTACCCGCCAGGTGGCTTGTTACACAGAACCATTTGAAACTGTAGCAAATACATCTTTCCACCGAGAAACGCTTTCAGTTCTATTCTTTGCTCTTCTTACACTGAAGAAATATTCTCCAGTTCTGATATAACCAGTGTTATTGCAGCATCTAGGCTAACCTCAAGCCACTATTGTTGTTTAGGACAAACAGTCGCCTCTCTGTGTCGACACACACACACACACACACACACACACACACACACACACACCTAAGCCACGGCCGTAGCTGCCAGTAGTTCCCCAGAGGATGCGGATTAGTCCGTGCACTGGCTTACCGGACACAAGCGCATTACTTGAAGCCTGACAAGAGAAAGGATTACTTTATTAAGTGTTCTCATCAGTTTCCAAATCATCAAGATAATAAAATTCAAGCAAATTTGTGTTTTATTGCGGCCATGACAGGTGATGACAGGCTGTAAATTATCAGCACTTCCTCCGTGCAGAAAAATATGCTGTGTGTGGTGTAAATTTTAGAGGGGGAACCTCTTCTCATATCAATCATGTGAACATTGAGAAAAGCTATTTTATTTATTCACAAGTGAAACAAGACTATGAGGTACAAGTCACACTGTGGAAAAGACGATGAGGTGAGATATGGAAAGTTACTTTCAATTCTGGCAAAAGCAGGTTCAATTCCAAACGTTTGAGTTGTTGTGGGCTGCTGTGCATTTAGGCTTTTATTGGTGGCATACGTTTTTATTATTGAACCATAATCAAACTATCTCTCTAATCCCAATCAAACTTGCCCGACACTAACCCAAAAACACGACACCGGTTTAGTACACTGAGGGAATATTAATCTGCCAGAGCATAGGGCATGGCATGAGATATCACACAAACATGGTTTGGGAGTGAACGCACACTGAATACAGGAAAATGTTTGAGTGTATTCAAGCTCATAAATAGCAACTTGACTGTATCTGACTGAACAAACCACAAGAATGCCAAAAACATGTCTTGAGTTTATCTGGGGAAGAGTTGTCCTAACAGGGCCGTAGGAATAGTCGCCTCTGACAAAGTTACCCGACCTGAGTCAGGCAAGAAGCTGTGATTACAGCCCTGGTGGCACTAGCTGCATCCTGGCACTTGCTCCTGGAGTTGGCTGGCTGGAGATACATCCTCATTAGACTGTCTCTGGGACATAAACACATGCAGCAAGTGTTGTTTGAGTGCATCCGACATCCCCAAGGTCAGTTGTATGCACCATCAGTGTCAAAATGCATCAGGATCAGTGGGTCTGCAGAGCTGTCTCGAGGAGGCTTTCCCTGAGTGATACAGATGGCTGTCAAAGGTGAAGGGGGTGTGGGGGAGAGCTATCAGGCTTCTCTTACTGCTGGCCTGTGTTATCATCAGTACCACTCTTACAGTCAATTCAAATTCAATATCGGCACGTACTGTAGGAAGCAGCTAGAATTAGACATCTTAAATATATGCTGTGACGGAGCCGCATCCGTTTCCCCAGAATATGTATTTGTGTTGGGGTCAAGGGTGAAATCTTCAGTCAGCCTTTGGGGGTTGGACCAACCCAACCCGAAGAGACACATTTCTCAAACACTGTTTCTCAGTATATTCCGTATCAAGTCTTATTAAACAACTAGCTAAATGAAGGATGTATCAGTAAAACAGAACTAAGGTGTACAGAGCGATACGGTTCGGGTGCCAAAGACAATTCACATGCATGTTTTAAGAATTTCCACCTGCGTGTGTGTACATTTTGAGCAAAAGCACATGATAACTTGGTCAGTTATTACACAATCAACTGCAAACCGAATTTTCCAAAGGAAATATCTGAGCAGATGTGTTTATCAACACCTGCAGCAACACTCCGGTTTATATTTAACATACGATCAGTGATGCTGTGATTGTGCATGGTACGTGGAGGGTACAGAACCAAAAACTTCAACTGGTGAGTCGTGCAAGGCCGTTGTGCTCACTGTTACTGGTTGACGGGAACACCGGACATGCGGCGGGTGGAGGGGGGGAAAAGCTTTCTTTTACCTTTTGGAGGCATTTAGGAAATGGTCATTACAAATATTTGGGGGGGGAGGATTTGACCCCCTGTCCCATACTGCAATTACATGCTTGGTTGGAATCAAGAACCCTGTTGAACTCTCGGTAATCATGGATCAATATTGGATAGGAGACATATTGGAGCTCATTCCACCCGAGAATACTCATCTCTAATGCAGCAGCACCAGCAGAACGATATCACTGGAGCACAAACTAAACAGGGGCCATTGAGCAGAGATCGAAGAGGAATTCAAAAGTGTGGATAAAAATGGAAACTAAAGCAAGCAATGGTGAGGACAGAGCTGCTGCAGACAATTATGAAGCAGAATAGATGCAGTTCGTGGATATGGAAAGAGTTTGATAAATATGTGACCATGAGAAAGAAATATGATATTTATTTTAATGTTTGTTTTGTTCGTTTTAAGGTTTTTAATGTGCTCAAAAGAAAGTATACTCAAAACAGTCGGCGTGCATGCTATAGACATTTGATTGTGCTGGACTATATTCACCCACAATGTGATGGACAAAGGAATAGAGGGGTCTAATCACAGCTGGAAAGCACTCAAGCTAATTGCAGATGGTAATGAAACCATCAGTAGGATCAGTTCAAGGCAAAAGATAACTGGCGATAGCGTTCTGAAGTCACAGTTCAAATTGCATTAATTAGGAGTTTAGTATGTTTATTAGCCGTGTACTAACTGCTAAAAGAGTTTACACTAACGATTAATACATAATAATAATCGGTACAATTCCAATGTAGTGGGACACAGCGTCAACAGCCTGCTGTATGGCACAGCAGTGTTTTGAGCTAAATGCTAATGTGAGCATGCTAACACGCTCACAATGACAATATTGACAATGCAAACATGTCGATGATGATGTTGAGCAGGTATAAAGTTTACCGACGCCAACCTCCTTAGCTACTCTGTCCAAGCACCAGACCTGGGGGGGAACAGGGCCTTCTCCATTGCAGCCCCTCCCTCTGGAACTCTCTTTACCATGTAAAGTGCCTTTGAGTACCTTTTAAAGCGCTATACAAATTAAATGTGTTGTTATTATTATGTTTAACATGTTTGTTAAGCGCGTTAGCCCTCATGGTGACGATAGAGAACAGTTGCGGGGATCACCGAAGTCATTACAATTCATCTTCTGGGGACCTTGAATGTCTGTACATAATCTCATGACAATCCTTCCAATGTATAGATTTCCATCCCTGGAGCCCTGTGTGGCTAAAAAACAACCAGCTCCCTGTGAATGTTGTCACTATAACAGCCCCTAAACCCGTAAAGGGACGGTTTTGTCCCCAGCCAATGTCAGAGCAACAGACAACTGGGTGTTAATTGCCTGTAATTAACTTCAATGACACAATTTCAGCCCACTGCTTCTCGCTGATTGCATGCTGCTATAAGGGTCGTTGTACTTTCAGCCTGAGTGTATGGTGTTTGGAAGCAGATG